TCTCTCTCTCTCTCTCTCTCTCTCTCTCTCTCTCTCTCTCTCTCTCTCTCTCTCTCTCTTTCTCCGATGCTGGACGTTTCTATGAAACATTTGAGAGATTCTATGAGATTGTCAGTTAGAAAGATTTTAATAGAACGTAGAAGCTTTGTTTAACGATAATATCGTGAGGAATGAATTTCACGAATCAAATTGCATTAGAAATTTAAAGAGTCGTGATATTTAAAAATTTTAAAAGTTATATGAGAAACACGGATAAATTGGGTCACAGAGCTTAATGCTTTCATTGCACTCTTGCCAAGCAAAAGTTGTTGGATTTTCAATATCGATTGTCGTGCTCATTGATTCTTTCTTTCTCGGGAAATATAACGAACTAGGTTATCAGCATGTTAGGTTTCTGCAACTTCGGACATAGTTCCGGGTATTAATCTCCGTTAACATTGACGGAGGGGGTGGTTTGCGTGGCACTAGCTTACGTGCAATATACGCGAATAGTTGGGTATGCATTCGACGACGAATTTTGCTATAGCTCAACGTCTCGGCCGTACCTGAAGTTTCAGTAGTAGTAATTAGCGCACGAGTTTTACCTGAAGGTGAACCAGCTCTCGCAGACAGCGTCGAATTCTTAGGACAAACGACAAGAATTTCTTTGATTTGTGACTGTTTGGGCTTTGATCCGATCATGCAGTTACGGTTCATAGCGAAGATTATGTGTTTTGGTTTCCGTGAAAAATTTGTGGGGTATATCCGGCACGAATCAATTCCGTTATTGAGCTTCAACAATGCCAATAAATTGATGGATAGGCCGAGTGTTTGTTTCGCAACACAGAATCAAGTGAATCGAATAAAATTTTACAAACCGACTTTGGTTTTTCGTCCGCATCACTTTCGACAGCACTTTTTCAAAATGTCGTTTGTCGGCTGACAGTTTTGTAAATTTTGAAAGTGGCCGGTCGTTCAACGCTTGATACATTCGCCGCACTCGATATATTTCGCTTGCTCAGCTCTATGTATTATCAAGAACAATTTTAACAGTATTTCTCTTACAATTTTATGTATATATATTACATATACGAGGTATATGAAAACAAAAGAAAATGTTTATATTAATATCGAGACAGAAAGAAACAATGCTACACTGAGAAAAAAATTTACTAAATTTTAAATAACGTTTGTTTGGACGGTACTGTGAAGATATTTGTTTAAATTAAGTAATAATTTTCTTTTGTTCTTAAGAAATAAATTTATATTTAAAACTTCTTTACTTAATTTTAGAAAGTAATTACTTAATTTAAACAAATATTTTCACAGTACTATCAAACGTTTTTTGAAATTTAGTAAATTTTGTTCTCAGTGTATATAAGCTTAAAGTATTTTTTGGCCTTAAACAGATTCTGATTTCTATTGTCATTCGCTTTTCTCAAAAAACTCAGAGATTATTTGTCTGAATAATTTGAAAACTGATACGAATATAATAATTTATTTAATCTATTTATACATAATAATTTTTTCATATTTATTTTAATATAATGTTTATGGTACATCTATCCTCAAAGACTTTTTCAGAAATGAGACTTGACAAAATTCTGCTTCTATTGATATCATCTAAATAAGTCATCTTTTAAATAAATTTATAAGCGACGATTCCACGAAATTTTCGAAAGATGCGAAATTTCTTGAAATACATGATTTGCATCCTTTAATACCGTGAAGAGGTTATATGTAGTTTGTACTTGACGAAGTAACGGTACATCTTTGAGATTTCACGACGAAGTTTCAACGTCCAGTAGATCAGCAAACTTCCTTCCACTAAGCGTCTCTATCAGCCAGAGTCGACGAAGATGTTTACGCGGATGCTTTGCATCATATTCTCAATCACGTTCCATCGATTAGTCCAAGATGAAATCTCGAGCAATAGCGCACGTAATCGGCAAATACAATTCGACATCACGTCCGAAGCGCAGCAATTTTCAAGTTAAATCAACGCGATCTCAATTGTGTTAATCCGTCACGGCGAGCGACGAAAGATTCTCGTGTACCCGCGACTTGTTCCCGTCGATGTATTCATTACAAATCCTCGCACACAGACACAACTGGAAATCGTGCGAAATTATTTCCGCTATGCTGAGATCACCATTTCATGATGCATTGAAATAACAAGCGAAAAAGATTGTTCAGTGAATATATCTTGAACGAGATCAATGCGGAGCTGCAAAGGTTTTCACCGATTACTCGTATTTGAAAAATACGCACACATTCGTACATATATACACACATGCAGACATTTATATATATTTATATAATAATGATAAAACATACACAGTTCTTGAAACAGCTAACCCTTTATCTAGTTACAATGAAAAAATGCCAACGTAGAACTGCTTGGCGTATCGAGAAACGCGAACTTTATTTACGCCACGCTGGTCGCGATGGATTTTTCATAACGGAGAGTGCATTACTTGCCGTCGCATTTTACCTCGCCGCGTCTTTCTCCGTGCGCAAGCGGTGCTACGTAAGACGACAGAGATTTCTTTCAGCATAACATCAGACCAAATAGAATGAAATTGGGGAAACATGGTTTTTTTCCCGGATCAAGATTTCGTTAGGTGCAAGCTACTCTCGTGTCGCTGCAAAGGACCTCGCACAAAACCTATGGAAAATGGTTTTCGGTCAAATTGGCTGAAATTTCACTATGTTATAGTTTTCGCCATGCTGATAAAAAGTTATCATTGCACCAAGTCCCAAAAGTCAATATTTCCCAAGATATAAAGGGTCAAAGTAGTGAAATATGGTCATCCGCAGTAGTAAGACGTATGTTATAAGTGATATATTGATATTTATTCACGAAATAAATAAAAATCGATTTTTACATATATATATATATATATATATATATATATATATATAATAAATATTTAGTTCCGCAATATTTTTAAGATCTGAAACAGTTTTTTGTAAAACTTATATTTTTCGAGATATTTCACCGGTCCGATACTTTTGCCCCACCCTGTATATACATATACATATATATTGCGGAACTAAATATTTATTATATATATATATATATATGTAAAAATACGATTTTTACTTATTTCGTGAATAAATATCAATATATCACTTATAACATACGTCTTACTACTGCGGATGACCATATTTCACTACTTTGACCCTTTATATCTTGGGAAATATTGACTTTTGGGACTTGGTGCAATGATAACTTTTTATCAGCATGGCGAAAACTAT